AACAGTTGTAGTAACAGAACATTTTAATAAGATATTTTACATTGGTATTAACATGTTGTCAATAAGCAACACCGTTTTTTTAAATCTTGCAAGTACTACATTCAATATGTATTAGTCATTTCATCAATAGTTGTAATAAAGATTGTTAAAAATTGCAGAATACACATGTTCGTGAAGCTTCTCTGAAAATCCAGAATGGAAAAAAAAAATAGTCCTACGTTTCAGTAGTTCACATAAGTCTTATTTGGTTATCTTCAATTTATAAATTTTCTTTTAGATTGAATTATAATACTTCGAGTTTAAAAATTGTTCATACATTGAGTAGGTGTAGCCACTTCTGATATGTACTTTCAAACCACGTAAATAAATTTTAAGGAAACTTGAGAATAATAAGATTCAATTACTCTTTAAGTACTTTAATAGGTGAACAATGATTATATTACAGGAAGTTCTTGAAGATTTAATCGTTTGCCTCAAAAGTAGGTCTCCTACCTCATTCTTCAGCATTAATTATTACATATTTCGCATCGATGAGTGTTTCATCTAAAACATGACAAAAGTATCAGACATAGTTCCGTTTTTAACTTGAAAACATAACTATACAAGGAGGGTGGTGGAATTGAAACACATCAACTGAGTAATTTGCTTAAAAAGCTTTATATCCTTTCCACACTATGGATATTTGGTCTGCTAAACCACCTTATCAGAAGTGCCACTTCGCAACCTGGCGAAAATACCCTCCAAAATGAGAGAAGACCCTGGATCATACTCTCTTCACTAGTCATAGGAAGATAGAATTTGAATTATCAACTGTCAAATTGGATTCTCAGCATGTCCTTAACCTACCATTTCGCGGTAGTGGTTCATTTTCACGCTAAACCAGCCTCACTAATGTTCATGTACATAGCAAAACAGGCCCGTCTGCAAATAATTTTGAAGAAAGTACCGTTCAGTCATATGTGAATTTTATGATAGGTAGAAACTAAATCTGAACACCATTTACAATGCAGATATAGTATCTCTACATATAAAATCGTAATCAAGAAAGACGAACAAAACGCTCAAAGTTCACGACACAAAATTGTAAAGATGAATATCATGACAGCTCATTTCGTTGCCTACGAAAATAAATTGGCATAATAAATTAAGCAGTCAGAAGTTTGCCTTTAAATCTTGAGATGGCCCCTAGCAGAGGCCAAGGTCCTGGTATTCTCCAAAAGTTTCTGCACATCATGCAAAACCCTCAGTAGGCAGAAAATGAAACTAAAAGAAATAGGAAAGGAACAAAAAGACCCTTTTTGACAATTGTACACCGACATAAGATATTGGCCATGGGTAGTATCTTTGAAATAACGACATGAAACTTAATAGAAGGAGAACAACTCAAAACCAGTCATTGAACACCTAACCTCACGCGTAAATGTGGCTACAGCCTTGGCACCCTCTGTTGCAAGCTCCAGAACCTTCTCAAATGTTTCTATTGAAACCTTTGAATCCATCTGTAAGAGTACACGAAACAAAACTACAACAAATTACTTTCATTCAGAGGAACAGATGTCTTAATTGAAAGTTTAAAATTGAAACCAAATCTGGTAAAGAGAATAATTTTGTAACTCTACCGGCTTCAGAGCTGTGTACAACAAAGAATGGGTACTTCACCCAAGGGTAAAGGATTCTCTGTCTAAAGCAACAAGTTTTCAGGAGTCGCAACGATGACGTCAGCTACAACTCAGATTTAGTGCTAGTTTTTCAATGAAATCTCGCGAGGGGGCTCGTATAATACTTTTAACAGCAGACCTAGAAATGAAATTATGCCCAGAGGAAATACCTGCAGAAGTGACAACTTTTCAAGCTTCGGAAAATATCCGACCACTAAGTCTGGTCCTCCCCCACTGTCTTCCTGGTAATTTAAATCTGGAAAAGTGCAAAAGGTATGACTTCAGAATAAACAACAGCAACGCTCATACAAAGTTTAGGGTTTAGTGCTACATCGTGAATAGGACCACCAAACTGGTTCGAATACTAGCAGTGGTCTTGCAGATATCAACGTAGATCCATCCACCACTAGGATAATGAGGAAGCTGATACAAAGAATAGCTGTTCTTCAAGATGGTGTTGATATGAAAAGAAAGGAAGATACCCAAGAGAGGGGTGGAGTTCAGGTAGCCAGCGGCGCACGAAACAACAAGGTCTCGCATCGGAATTCCGGCATCAGCAAGTGCCATAGAAGCTGCATTAATACATGCTGCTCTAGTTCCTGCACAAAAATGCCCAGAACTTGCGTAAGAGTGCAAGCATAAGCAGAAAAATGATAATGGAGACCAACTGCTCCTAGTGCTTCCTGGTATATTGAACCCATTTTAAAGTTCTCATGCAATACGTTAAATTCCTGCCAGTAGTTTTTTCTAGTACAATCGCCTAAAGCCTTAACTACGTGCACGATAATTATCTCTCGGTTCCAAAGCTAGCAAAACAAATTGAGTATGGGCTGCAAAAACGAAAATATACAACAAACCAATTTGCCAAACATAAAAAGCACTTACCCCCGTCTGCTTGAAGGACTTGGACGTAAATATCTATCTGCATGCGAGTCAAGGAGCCATTTGAAAAAGAAAAAATAATCAGAGAGTGCACGTGTTGATCCTTATACTCCGTACAAAACAAAATCCATGAAAAGAGGTGGGAAACTATTGTAACACTCACTATAGCAAAATATATGACAATGTATGAAATTGCAAACAGTGAGTTCTTAAAGGGTTACAAAACAGCCAAAACCTGCGAACGAGGCAAAAGGTGGGTCATGATAGCAGCTTCCAATGTTTGGCCGATCACGAGAGAAAGTTCTGTTGCACGCCTGCGAATAGTCCAGGCATCACTTTCTGTAAAAATCAGCTGGGACTATCTGCGTTGATTGTTCTGCTCCATGAACTTAAAACTGAATGTGATGATGCGAGAAACTCCTCTTCTTGGGAAGTAGGAAGAAATATTGGAACACTGCCCATGCGAAAAACATTTCGAAATCATAACAAAGGCATTACACTTACTATAATCTGGCACCAATTACTAACCAACTGCTACTGGTGACTAGAGTTGCTGTGGCTTGATAAGCTAGAAAAAGGACAATATTCCCGTGCACCATACCTATCCGTCTTGCCTCGCCGTCTTCGCTCTCCTGTACTGAAAGCTGCCATGCTGTACTCACACCGTACCTATGATGATAATGAAGATAATCGAACCGAAGAGTGCAGTTAGAGGTAGCAAAATTGTCGTGAAATTGATGCAGAACCCAAGAGCGGCATGCAAAATAGAATGCGCAGATGCTAGACGCAGACGGGAAGTGATAGACGGCGATGATGGAAAATGGCGAAGGTGATGGAGAGGCGGAGGGGGGTATGAACGAGAACTAACCAGGGCTTTGTCGTGGAGCTGGTGAGCCTTGTTGTGGACCTCGTGAGGACCGTAGACAACGGCCATGACTTGGGTGTTGCCCATGTGAAAAAGGGCGGAGCCATCGGCAGAAGGGACGACACCGACGACAGCATGCAGGTGGCGCATCTCGGGAGGACGACGACCATCAAGGCGGAGGCCTTCGGGAGACACGAACTCCGTGGCCATGGAGAAGGAGAATCAACAAAAGGGGGATGATGATGGCGAGCGAAGAAGAAGAAGAAGAAGAAGGGCACTTCTGAAGCACACGATGATCGCCCGGCAGCAACAGCGAACGGAGAAGGCAGGCAGGCAGGCACGCGCACACACCCTAACTAACAACACCCAGCAGCAGCAGTGCGGCCCCCTCGTCCAAAACAGAGAGCAAAAGAAAGAAAAATATTAGGGACTCAAGGAAACGGACAAAAGGAAAAACGCTGTCTCGCGTGCCTCGCCGTCTGCTCGGTTTCACTGGCTCTGGCTCTGTCTCCCTTCCCAACACCTCCCTCACATGGCATTCATACCCCCACAAAGAATGTCTTCTAATAAAGTAGCAACTCATGTAAGTATTAGTCAAGCTATTAGGACAATAGAGAAGCCCAAGTAAGGGTACAAGATGGAGATAAATATTGTCAATCATAGAAGATTAAGAAAGACCAATAGAAAGAAGAACATCTTTAAGATTTTATATTATAAAATTGAAATAATATTTATAACAATGAGATTAAATAACACAACTAAGTATAATATGAAACACAATAATAGAATAAATGTTGTGTATCCAATAGATTAAAATGCTACAATTCTTTAAAAAAATTGATTCGACCAATAAAATTTTCAAAATCAACTGAACAACCTGTAAATATTGTTATAAATGCAACAGCTTATGACATAATCAAAATAATGAGTTTTAAGTATTAAACTAAAAAAATACTTTGATATTGAGACAAATAATGCAAGTTGTGCTATAAATGATATATTTTTTAGTAATATATTATTTTTCTAACTCAAATTTACTTCAATTAAAATATTAAAACAACAATTGATTTTGGAATCTAAACCAATATCATAGATACCAGATAATGAAGATGCTAAAATTGGAGCCATTAAATTTTATTGTGGTCTCCTAATTCCATTACTCTAAATTAAAAATGAATTTTAAAATTAATGACTTGCATAATGGTAGCTTAAACATAAATCTATGACTAAAATAAAATGAATAGATTGAAATTTAAAGTATCCCAATCAACTCTTCACAAATTACAAGTGGTTGATTCAATATTAGTCTATTTAGTCAAGATAATCTTTAAAATAAAAATTAAATTTTAATGCACTTTATACCAAATGTTGCAACAATTATATATAATAAAGACGTCAAGGATATGTAGATATATTTTTTAGATTATTTTGCTAAATTACTGAGGATCAATATTTTATAATTATTTAGAAACATTGATAAACTAAAAAATTCAACTTGTTGTTTGTAAAAAAAGACTCCTTATCTTTAATAGTCAATTAAATTTCCAAGTAAAAGAACAATCTTCAAAACTAATAAGTCTTGAATCTAGAAAAATAATTTTATTGCATATATAAAAGAAAATATTTAAATAGATAAAGTATTACAAGCAAGTGCAACAGATTGAATTGAATTTAAGCAAATAAATAAATAAAATTCAAGTAAAAAATAATAAATAGAAAAAAAAAACTTGCAAATAGATTTACATCTAAAACTTGAGTTATCTATAATAGCCAAAAAACAACTATAAGAAAAATTTATAGTATATCTATTTAGTCTTATGAGAAATTCAAGCATCTTTTAGCAAAGCAATAGAACATACAAATAAATTAAATCTAAATATTCAATATGATGTATAAAAGTTTTAAATTATGTCAAGAAAAGAATAAAAATAATAATTATTAAATAACTAAAAATAAGATGCTATTATTTAATTGAAGATGCATTCCAAATACTTTTTATTATAAGATTTTAAAAAAATATCCAATTTAAAATCTATATTGATAAATATAAGTTCAATAATATAACTCAAAAAATTATATATTTTATTTTATTTATTAATATTTTTTAATAAATTTTCAAGCCATCTTCTATTTTTTTATGGAAGATTAAAGAAAATGCAATTAAATTTAAGTACATACAAGTAATCATTATGAAAAATACCTACTATATTATTAAAGAATTATTTTTAACTTATCTTTTTAAATAAACAAATAAATAAATATATGTATGGTATATAAATAGATTATCATACATTTAATTTAAATTTATCTTTAGAATTTTATTTATATATATTTGATGATTTTTTTATATATATCATCTTAATTACTTTTTTAGAAAAGTTGGATGATGTTATAAAAAATATGAAAAGTACAATATAAGTCTCAATTTTAATAAACATATTTCTAACATTATTTAGATATGGTTTTTTTTAAAATATTTATTAAAAGATGGCAAAATTTCCCATAAAAAACATATTGAAGTAAGTAAGATAGTTTCTATGTTGAGTCTAAATGGCTAATAAATACATAAAATTAAATTTACGTAGATAAAATATTTTAGATTATGATAATTAAAAAAATTATAAATTGAATTAAAAAAATCTTAAATTAACTCACTTGACTTCCATGATTCAATTATTATGATTTCTTCTTTAATATGGGAATAGAAAAACTTATAAAATCATTCATTTAATTCCACCTTGATTTCTTGGGAAATTTGAAGGTGTAAAGATCATGTTTTATGAGTCAAGGAAAGAGGAGGGGAAGAGAAGATTGGATAAATGGTAAGGATGAGTGTGTGCTTCAATAGTGTGTATATTGTAGAATCATAGCCAATATGAGGCAATGCAAGAGAGATCCCAAATCCCTTCCCTCCTAAAGAAGATATTGAATTAATATCTATTATTTTGCATTAAGTTCTTGTGTTGTTTTATTCTCATATCATAAAAGTATGTACAAAGATTGAATCATAGAAATATGGTGGATTGTTTTAAAATTTAGGTGGGTTAATTTAATATTCACTTAGATTAATATTTTTTATATTTTTAGATAAATAATTATAATACCTAAATATTAAATTAATTCTATATTAAATATTATAATAATTTAAAGCTAAATAAATTATAAAATAATATAATTAAAAATAATTTTTTGTAATTATTATTATTATTATTATTATTATATATTTTTAGAAGACATAAATCTAAAAAAATTAAAAATATAATATATTCATATGTTATTGAAAAGAAAAAAAATAAAAAAGAGATTAATAAAATATTAAAAAAAATTATTATTATATATAAAGCAATTAGAAAGTTTTAAGTATAATAAAATATTAATAAGATCAAAGATAGTCTTAACTTTGCTTCTATGCATATTAATTATCAAATAAATCTTGGTGAAGCTTTCTAAAAACCATGAGACTTGTATGCTGAGTATTAAATTATAGGTTGCTTTCAAAGCAACTTCTTATAAGTAGAAAATATATATGACAAGTTTTAATTACAATGTAGAATTTCTATAGAAATCCAAAGATCTAATCTATATCTAAAAAAAACTTATTTGAAGTTTTTTAAAGAAAATATTAATTACCTACTATATTTTTACCTATTTTTATTTACTTATATTTATTTAGATGGTATTAACAAGAAAAAACTTTATATTTATTTAGGTGATAACAAGAAAAATTAAGTTGTTTTATATGTTAATGAAGTTAAAGATCTATGAGATGTTATTAACAATATACTTTGATTTATGTTTTATACAAAGTTAATTAATAGGTCTAATAAGCCATCAATAATTATGTATAGAAGGATAAGAAAACTACCCAATTTACTTACTTATTAACAATGCATATAAAACTATCTTAAAATAAATTTTAAGATGAAATTCCTAGAAAAAATACAAGACCTTAGTCTTATCCTTCTACTTACATTCAAGGTGATGAAACCCATGTAAAATATACGCACTTCTCTTCCTACAAGTACTACTCTAAACACTAGTTATTATAGTTTTTATTAATAAAATATGTTATTTATTTTTTTCAATTTTAACTTCAATATATTTTTTAAAAGCACTTAATTTTCTTACATACCTTGTAGAGTCTTCAAATCTTATTCCAATTTTTTATAATAGCATTCCAAAGTGGTAAAATTACTTTTATCAAATTTTTGAGAATATACACAAAATATCCTTAATAAAATTAAAATTAATTCTATTTTTTTTAAAAATAAATTATAATATTTAATTAATATTAATTTATCCCAATTTGATATTTTTATAGTGATAGAATCTGTTTAAATCGAATAAAAATCCTACTTTCTACATAAATCACTAAACAATTATAAGATTTTTTCTTATGCTTCTTTTGTCCACTAGTTAACATTTATAAGTTTTTAATAATTAATGTAAGAAAGTAGAAGAAAAATTTAGATATTGGTCTTAATAATTAAATACTGTATATTATAATTAAAATAAATATACTAAATTACCAATGATAATTATTTCTAAGACTTACTAAGATTCTATTTATATGATTATTTTTCTAAAAGACTCTTGTAACTTATAAGACCTTTGAAATCCTAAAAAATAATTATATAATCAAATATACAATTTAATCTTAAATATTTTATACCTAAACTACTTAAAAACTTTGTTAGATAAATCTAATAAAATAAGATGCATTATTAGGTTACATTTGACTAGAAGAAATTGAAGTAACTAATAACAAGGAATAGTAGTAGTAGGATGTTGAGTGCATATATCTTATATGGATTGTAGCATATTTGGAGTGGTTATAAGGATAAGAATAAAGCTTTGTAATTTCCCTAAGACAACCTACATACCACTTGTGAGTCTTGGTGAGGCTCAAATCTTTGACCATACAATCAAGTTATTCTTCAAGTATATCTCAAATGCCTAATTTTTTAAATTTTTACTTCAAATCTAAATATTGTAATTTTTTTTATAATAACTCAAATCCACTTTTTATTGGGTGTAATTGGAAAGATTAAAAATATTTGTACAAAAAAATTCATTTTTTACCATAGCTTTTAATAATTTACTAAATAAAAATCTAATATCAAAATTGTGTTTAATTTTAAAATATAATTTTAAAAAATGTTATTCTTTAATTTTTTATTTTTTTATCTCATTTCTTTTTTTTGATTGTGCTTCTTAAATGAAACCACTTACTATTAATAACTCTTAATTGAAGTAACCTTAAAATCTTAATCAAAGAATAGATTTAAATTTTACTATGGGTAGGCAATAAATCAAATAATAAAGAATGAATGACCAAAATAAAGAATCAATAAAACAAATAAAAAATAATCATTAGATAATAATAATTTAATAAAAATAAGCATAAATAAAATAAAAAATAATATTATGCATAAAAATAATATA